AGACCAGACAGAGAAGAATTTATTTGGCAAAGATCAAGGTGAAATTAAGCAACATTAAAGGAGGATCACCTCATAAGCTTGCTGTAAAAGATGTGTGCCAGTGTGCTCCAAAATGCAGCACAGAAGTGTAGAACTGTCTTGTGAGTGGATCAGAGATGTGTCACAAGAGTGCAGGGAGGCTGGTATGTGTCAGATGCCAATATTCAGGAATGGCAGGTGCCTGCTGTCACTACCCATGCAACATGCCCTAAGATGTTGGTCACTGATGTCCAAGGTGGAGGGCCAGGGGAGCAAGCAGCAAGTTGGAACCACCAGGTAACCACTGACTTTCATGTTGAGAATTGTCGATGCCTGATTTTTATCCAGCAGGTGTGAGAATGGGAAATTGCGTATACATGAGGTGAGATTAATTAATAATGAGATGTAAATGCATGCTAATACAAGTATGCCTCTCATTTCTCACCAGCTTGACTTTTGTTTCGGCATTAAACATTTGGCAAGAAAATGGATCTTTTTGCTTTCGACGTTGAGAAGCACCTTTCTGTCAATCTCAGTGTCTGGGAAGATTGTGCCCATGATTTCAAGTATTAATCTTGCTTAATTTGTACTCTGTTAAATCATTACAGAAGTGAATTTATACTCATAGATAGGTGCCTAACTTTTCTGTTTGGGAATTAGCTGAAAACATTCTGAAAACATGATCAAAGCATTGTCAGTTATCCAAAGGAAAATGGAGTGCAGAGCAGGATTTTTTGAATGACTTGGTTTCTTCACCCGTCATCCTGAAGGGTTGGCAGGCAACACATCCCTTCCATTACTAGCTGCCCCACAGCCGTCAAATGTACAGCAGGGTGTTAATTGGCTAAGGCTGAGACTTCCTCCATGTGGAAGGAAGACCCTCCTTAGAGAGAGAAGTTTTGTAGTCCCAAGTTTGAACAGTAGCCAAGGCTGGGACTACAGGAAAATCCAAAGAAGAGGACATACTGGAGGTCGGACTGAAGGTAAGTCTGGAGTATCAACAGGACTTGGCTAGCTAGCCCCAGTCAGACACATGAAAGTATTGGGAGCCAGGTTTGAGAAGCTGGCGTGTGTGTTAAAATAAGTATGACCTGGGGAGAGGGAGTGCGCCTGCTGGGTACAGGGGCTCCCAAAAGAACTATCCCCACCCCACTTGCCCGTCGCTAGCCCATGCATTGAAAGCTGCAGGGCATATTCCTCCTCCCTGCCACAGGAAAAGAGCAGCTGATGTGGGGCGTAGCCATTAATTGACCTAGTGCCTTCACTGTGCCCCACAGTATGGCATACAGGTTGCAGACAGTCAAATAGGTTCAGGCAGGCGATTTGCTGGATTTTACAAATGTCACCATCTATTAACCCACCAACTGAAATTCTACCCATAACTACAATAAAAAATGCTTTGTCTCCAGCAACAGAAACACTATAAATACAGGAAATTGATGGTATCAAAAAATCCCAAGACCCCAGGAGCTCATGGGAATCTGAATTGAAAGCTTATCCTGCAATTTGATTATAACCACTTTAACACTTCTGTTTTTAATCAGATTGTGCTATCTGAGAGGCTGTCAACATCTTCTACTTTATTATGACAGAATATTTTCCAAAACAATTTTAAAATCCTTTCTGTAAAGTTTAAGTAGGTTTTAAAACCCAAGACTAATATGTACATGATCAGATTTGGAATGTAACTTTAGAAGCTCCATATTAAGGCAATATTTCAAAAAGATTGGATGAAAACTTTGAGTTCTGGCTCACCTATTCATTTATAAAATAATTTTTATCCTTTTGGGGATGCTATATGGCATTTATTGAATTGTCTAGTTCTATATAGAAGAAGATACTCAGGATAAATACAGAGCTACCTTTTATCATTTATGAATAAATACAATATAATTGCTTCTTCAAATTTTTCAACCTTTATATTTTATTAACAGTATTCAAAGAAAAGAGTCTTAAGTGTTACAAGATGAAGTATACCTTGAGTAAAAAGTTTATTTTGTATGAAATGCATTCGGATGATACGTGACTAGTTTTCATAGAGAGCTATGTTGGTTAAATGGAATCTGTAAGTTTCTTTGAATTCTTATTCCATCAATACTGTCCTCAATATTGTGAAAAAGCTTGTCACTACTCTGGAATTCAAAACGCATTGCAATTTTAATAAAGAGTGCTCTTGAGATAATATTTATATCTATAAATGTGGATTTTCAGAGAGTGAAGTCTGGTAATACATTTACATTTACTTTAACAAGGGCATTTGGGAAATGACTATTTTCAGCTCTGTTACAGCAAGCAGTCCTAAGAGTGAGTATTCCATTAGCAAGATGCTCTCATTTGTAACTAACGAGCCTGTGCTTTTTTGCTGATTTTTATTGTTGTGTTAATTCTCATTCCTTTGCTTTATTCTATTAACATCTTGTGGAACATTTTTATCTTTTTGCATTATTAGACTGATTCACCATAGTAAATTTCTTATACATTCTGCAATCTCAATCTTGCACCAAGTCTGCGAAAAATAAGACTGATGGAAAAGTGATTGTGAGCTATAATTTTTTTGTAAAATAATACTTAGTTCTGGAACTTGAAAAATCTTTGCTGGATTCTATCTGAAAATTTATAGATTCTATTTGCAGATCTCTAATTTCTCCTAATTGATTATCAATGATTAATGACAGGTATAATTACCGTATGAGTTTGAGCGGGCGGCACAAATATATAGTCATTAAAGATAAATTCGCCATAGTCCTGCTGGACCATTAGGCTTCTTTCTCATCAGAGAGAGATGAATGGTGGTAGTGTAACCTGAGGGACGCTACACCTCAATGCAAACCAGCCATCCAGCCAAGTGAACTAGCTAATGCCCAACGCAATTATATCCATATCATACTCATAATATATCCTCACAGATGATGTATGGAATAAAAATGTTTAAAAATGAGCAGTTAAACTAGAACATTGTACAATGTAATTTAAAGAATTTCCAAATTCAGTCAGATGTGAAGTTTTAGTTTCTAAAACTAGTGGGTTTACTGTGCAGGATCATTTAAAAATACACAGTTAAAAGAAAAGTGCACAAGAATATGTTCAAGTAAGATCACACAATCCTATGATGTCATGGAATAAAACTAGTAATTCCATTTTATTATATCTACATAATGCAATAATTAATATGACTCATTTTATAATCTGGAAAGAATGTGAAGTGAAAAACACCTTGAGGAATAAGTCTAGAGATGACAGACAATGAAGTTTCAGTGTCAAAGGGGTTGAGCTGTAGATGGAGGCAATTATTTGTGGAGGTGGAGCTAAAAGCTCCTGCTAATGGACAAGATGTGGACCTTAAAGCTTAGTTTGGAGTTGAATAGGATGCCAAAGTTTTGGAATATGTGGCTCACCCTTTTAATGGGTGAGAGTCTGCAGCAAGAACGGAGACTATGATGAGGATTGAAACTAATAGCCTGGTATTCATTGAACAGAGATTTGTTAATGGACAGGAAGTCTAACACCATGGAGCAATCAATGGAAGTGGTAGAGATAAGCGGAGATATCATTGGCATACAATTTAGAGGTGACCCTGTGGAGACAAGGAAACGGAAGCGACCAAAGACTTCAGAGGTATCATGCAGTGTTGGGATGAAAAGCTATTCCTGTAGATGTGTTACCTGTATTTAGTCATGTAGAAATAAAATCACACAAGAGAATGGAGATGGTTAACGATTGTGCAGTCTATATAATTGCAGAGAACATAAACCCTCCAACACTGTTCATCACTTTAATCAATGCTCTGAGAAGGGCAAAGGAGAAGAAAAAAAAATCAATAGGAGAGTTATCCAGTGAATCGGGAGGCAAGAGAGGCTGGATAGGCTGGAACCTTTCTCCCTGGAGTGTAGGAGGTTGAAGGGTGGATCTTGTAGAGGTTTATAAAATCTTGAGGGGCATAGATAAGGTGAATAGCAAAGGTCTTTTTTCCAGTGTGGGGAGTTCAAAACTAGAGGGCATTGGTTTAAGGTGAGAGGGAAAAGATTTAAAAGGGACCTGAGGGGCAACTTTTTCACACAGAGGGTGGTGCTTATATGGAATGAACTGCCAGAGGAAGTGGTATGGGCAGGTACAGTTACAACATTTAAAAGACATTTGGACAGGTACATGAATAGGGAAGGTTTAGAGAGATATCGGCCAAATGCAGGCAACTGGGACTAGTTTAGTTCGGGGAAACATGGTAGGCATCGATGAATTGACCAAAGGGTCTATTTCTATGCTGTATGACACTATGAAACACATACGACCTTTACAGAGCAATCAAAGATAATTGTTGGGGAAAAATGGTGATTATCAAGTGAGACTGAAGATTTAAAAACATTTTAATGAAGCAGTGAACGCATGAAAAATGCCCTCAACAAAAGCAGCAAATTCTATTTCACTTTATTTCCTTCAGAAAGCATTGAGTAAATGTTCTTTGTAACCAAAAAATTTCTTGAAAAATTTCTGAAACAATGCCATTCACTCAATCTTGGAAAAATCAATGTTAGTTGTAATATAAATAGAAGTTAAATTTTGGTTTATTCTTGGATTTATATATATTCTTGGATTTCCTTGAATACCAATGCTGGGATTGGAGAGATTTCATGGAACTTATTTTAAAGGCTATTTACGTGTAACCACTTAGATGGTGGGCAATGTAGGAGCATAATATTTTTCTGAATTTGAGGTTAAGATCCTACTATGAGTGAAGCTTAAACTTACTCAAAGCCTATCATTCATAGAGTTAAAAATCAGGCCTTATGTGTAGGGAGCTCTGGATGTGGATGCTATGTGTAGAGTTGGAAAGTTACCAATTTCTTAATTATGAAGCTAAACTAGTGCTATTAACAAAACTATATGGTATATTTGATATTATCCTATGTAGTAAATTCTAACACTGCATACTTCCCTTTCATATCGCTAATTGTAACAATGTGCCCCTTGGTTGTTTTTTGTCTCAGGGTTGGATCCTAGTGGGTTTCCCAAAAACTAGAGAACAGGCACTTGCATTACAAGAAATGGGAATTGCGCCAGAACATGTTGGTAAGTTATCATGGATAAGAATATTAACTAAAAACAAAGTCTTAAAAATTGCACTTAAAAATAGAACAAAATCATCAGATCATTGCACCCTAGAAAAAGAGCTTTAATTCCACATTTTTCTCCCGAATTATTGTTAAAATAACACTATTCCCAGCCAACAACTGGATTCTCCATTAAAATAAAAGCAAAATACTGCTGATGCTGGAACTCTGAAACAAATTCCAAAAACTTCTGGAGAAACTCATCAGGTCTGGCAGCATCTGCAGAGAGAGAAACAGAGCTAGCATTTCGAGTAGAGCTAGCATTTCGAGTTCTGTGTAACTCTTCTTCAGAACTGAAAGGAGTGGGAAAATTAGTTTTGACAGAGATGGTCGTGGGTGAAATGGTAAATAGGCCCAGTGCAAAAGACAAAGGAGTTGTTAATGGTGCTGAAAGAGAAAAAAAGAGATGTAAAATGGATGTAAATTAAGTTGTGAAAAGGAGAGAATGGGTCCTCTCTACTGAGAGCAAAGTAAGCAAAGCACAAATAAGACAAGGCTGTGTGTGGGATGGGGGAATGGAGTGTAACAAAATGTAGGAAAGTAAGAAAAATGTGGGACAGATATCATACAGTCAGGCTCTAAATTTGTGGGAAAAAGTGGATTTCAATATTGATTCCTTGAGACTGTAAAGTGCCTAAGCAGAAAATGGGGTGTTGTCCCTCAAACTTGCATTATTCTTCATTGGAACATTGCAGCAGGCCCAGGACAGAAATGTTAGCATGAGAGCAAGATGGTTTATTGAAATTGGAAGCAACTGGAAGGTTGGGGTCCTTCTTACGGACTGAACGGACGTGTTCTGCAAAGTGGTCACCCAGTTTGCATTTGGTCTTGCCAACATAAAGGAGATCACATTCTGAGTGGAGAATAAGACAGCCTAAATCGAAGAAAGTGCAAATAAAACACTGCTGAATTGCAGTAAAGTGAACTCTACACATTGGGCGTGCAGTGATTGTAATGAGGTCAGCCAGGTGAACCTTATGGAATATGAGTTCACTGATTGGGGCTGTTAACCTGGTCTAATCAGGGAGCTCTGGCTGATAGATATAAACAGGAGTGTCAGAGGTTCAGATCACTCTGAGAGTTGGATCTGTGCTAACTGAGTCAGTGCGAAGTGTTATGCATGTATAAATAAAGGGTGACTTGGTGACAGGATACCGGCCTCTGTGGAGTTATTTATGTGTGGAATTCTGTTTTTTGAGATTAAGTGTGAAGGCAAGCCTAAAAGCAGAAGGTATTTCTGTTTGGGGGTGTGTTGGGTTTTGTTGCGCAATTACATTCTTCTGAGCTCATTACATGGATCAAACACTAAATTTTATTGGCAGGCAGTCATGAAGTTCTATGCCTGGGACCTCCTGGACCTCACTTTCCAGACACCATATTTAAAAGGCACTTCACTCCCAACAACCTAGGCGCATCACTTAACCTCTGGTCATCTTCCAACCATCCCAGAGATGTCTGACACAAGGCCACACTTGAAAAACATCTCCCTCAAGTTTCTCCTGAAGCTTGTTTAGGAGAGAAGGGAACATCTTTTCCCTTGGGATAGCAAAAAGAGGCCTTCCTGATTGATGAAGACAGCCTGGACAGAGATGGCTGCGCAAGTCAGGACTTGTGGGTAGTGCCATAAGTCCAGTGCCATAAGAGAACAAATCATCTGCTATGCTGAGCTAGGGATATACCACCATCTACTCCTTGTTTCTTGTCCCTGAGTGAATGAGAGTTAGTATTGTAAACTTGCCACAGAAACGGACTGTCCCACACAGGTTAGCTGCCAGGTATATCCATCAGATGTCTCATTTACAAGCAACATCTGTCACTTATTGCGACTACCAGGGTAGAACTACTTTCACCACAGACGTATTACCTGTCACACATCTGCCAGGGATCACGCTTAAAACATAAATGGAGCTACAACACATAGCAGCTGACATACTATCACACCATCAGCTCCCTCAGCTTTGTTCACAACTAGGAGAATGCACTCATCTGATGGCTTTCAACCAAAAGTTTTCATAGGATAAAGATACAATAACAAAAGATGGCTTTGAGATTTTTTTAATTTCAAAAATATACTTTATTCTTAAAATATCATCTGTAAGGTTCTAAATCAGCTCTGTACAGTCTTTGCAGAGACAAAAAACAAACAGCACATTGGATTTTTTGACGTTTCTCAGCTTCACTACAGTTGCAGAAACAAGGCATTTTCTACATAGCAGGAAACTATTCATGTTCATTTTGGGAGAGGGTCTGACTGAATGGACCTCTGTTATACTTCGATAGGAAGACCTTAGGCAACAGTCTTTCCCCACTGAGCCTTGGTAGCGGCTGCCTCAACTTTAGTGCGTCCTTCAGCACGTAGTCCTGGACCTTGAAATGTGCCAGTCTACAACAGTCAGTCGAGGTCAACACTTTACACTGGAAAACCGACAAGTTTCAGGTAGACCAAAGAATGTCTTTTCCTGATTTAATGGTCCTCCAGGCACAGTTGATGTTTGTCTTGGTGTGTGTCCAGGATGGACACTCAAAGGTAACTCGGGCACTCATCATATTATGCTTTATTGGTTTTCATCAACTTTTTGATTACAGTGAACCACCTTTCAACTAGAACCTTTTAATTTCTAACTTCCCCCATACTAAGTTCTTCTTACTAGTAGCATACACAGACAATCACAGCCTCTGTAAATTGATGTCTATTTGTATCAATAAGTGCAAGCAACGTATTCATATATCCAAGCTAATGTCTCTTAATGCTTCTATCCTTCAGAAAAAGAACATGCATAGTAAGCACAAACAAGCACTATGGATGTCCTCTATCCGGCTAGGAAACGAAACAGGAGGTTAATGGTGAAAAAGGAGCAAACTAACTTACAATTAGTGCGGTTCAAATGGCTGGTGGAAATAGCCTGAGGGCTGAGGTTCTTGATTTTTTGTCTTGGCTTGGGAGTGGAATCTATAGGTTACGAAGAAAAACATAAAGATTTGTTGATGTCATGTACTGCCATCCATACAAAAGTTTTATTAAGATGTTTGGTGCTTGATTTGCAGCTGGGAGAAGTAGATTGGAGGGTTTTTCACTAGATGGCTGTAAATATTCAACCTCCCCTTTAGCACAGGCACGTTCCTGTTTCTCTCCTGCCAGCTCAACAGCTCGCTCCTCCAAGGAGGTCAGGCTCCTTATGTCAGATTAATCCCCTTCTAGGTCTGAGAATGTTTGTGCTTACTGTGCACGTCTACGGATGCTTACTGTTGGTCCTAGTTCAGGATTTTGTTAAGGTTAACATGCAGGTTCAGTTGGCAGTTAGGAAGGCAAATGCAATGGTAGCATTCATTCTGAGAGGGCTAGAATACAAGAGCAGAAATGTACTGCTGAAGCTGTATAATGCTCTATTCAGACCACATTTGGAATATTGTGAGCAGTTTTGGGCCTTGTGTCTAAAGAAGGATGTGCTGGCCTTGGAGAGAGTCCAGATGATACTTGCAAGAATGATCTAGGAATGAAGTGCTTATCATATGACGAGCAGTTGACATCTCTGGGTCTATACTCAATGAAGTTCAGAAAAATGAGGTGGGATCTCATTGAAACTAACAGAATACTAAGAAGCCTGGATAGTGTAGACATGGAGAAGATATTTCCACTAGTAGGAGAGACTAGGACCTGACACATGGCCTCAGAGTGAAGGAAAGTAAAATGAGGAGGATTTTTCTTCAGACAGAGGGTAGTTAGTCTGTGGAACACATTGCCACAGAAGGCTGAGGAGGCCAAGTTATTGTGTGTATTTGAGACAAAGATAGATTTTTGATTAGTAAGGAGATCAAAGATTACAGGGAGAAGGCAGGGAACAGGGTTGAGAAACATATCAGCCAGGATCAAATGGCAAATAGCCTAATTCTGCTCCTATATCTTATGGTCTATCTGCCATGTCTCACAATTGCTCTGTTTCTTCAGCATCCTCATCGTAAGCATTGGCTTTCTCATCACCTTCATCATTTGAAGAAACAGGTGGCTTCCATCTTTCCCTCTTCTTAGTTCTTGCCTTATTGTTGAGCTTTGCTGTGCATGGCATAGTGACAGTCACCATCCTTAAGACCCTGACCAATAAGTACTGGAGTACTCCTCCTGAGTGGTCCAGGCAACAGAAGCTCATCTTCAGAAGACCAATTTTCTACTCAGTGATGGCCCCAGTAAAGGTATGAGCAGAGTTGTAGCACTGTTCAGCATCAGTCTGAGGCTTGTGCACTGGGATCAATAGCCATGTCTGCTTGTCACCCACAAGCCAACCCTGGAGCGAACATTTGAGGAACCTGGGAGCTGTGCAAATTGTAACCAACGTGACAGCTCGCTGTATAATGGGCACGCAGCTGCAGGAGTTGTTACCTGTGATCACAAAGGAGCTGAATATTGAGAGGGTGAAATTTCTTTCTGTTCAAGAATCTGGCTGGTTAATGTGATTGAACTCTGATTGTCACGTATGCAGTTGAAGACCCCTTGTACCTATGGAAACCCAGCAATGCTGCAAACCCGACAGCTCAGGCACCTTGGGTCCCTGGGTCTGTGGCGACCTGGACAACTATATTGCTTTGTTGTAAAAGTTATCAGTGAATTCACAAATGTGCTTATGGGTTGCTGATTGAGTGATGCAACATGAGTCCACATTTGAAGTTTGAAAGGAGTCACTGTCTAGAAGGTTCAATGCCACTGATCTTGAGGGCCATAATGCCTTACACTGCTTCTTATTCAGTTCACCTGCTCATGTTTCCACCTGAGCACATTTCCCTCAATGGTCCCCTGTCTACATTATCATTTGGGTTCTCCTCTCCAATATCTTCTATTCCACCCCCATCTCCCATCCCAGGTGCTTCCTCCCTCCTGCTTGTCTAACCTTTCCATCTACACCCCTACTAACCCCTTACCTGATGCCCCCAAGCCTCTGGTCTCTCCTTCTGTCACTGGTGCTCTAG